ACTTTGTGTTGGTCTTTCACATTAAATTCCAGTGAAATATATTTATGTTTGTGGTTGTAATGTGACAAAATATGGAAAAGTTCAAGGGGTATGAATAATTTTGCAAACCACTGTATATTGTGGTCTATGTGTTTGTATATCCAAACACATAGATGCTGACATGATAAGTTTGTCATGCAATTCACGTAATGACGTGATTATGGGAACTGGGAAAGTTGAAAAGTAAAGTACATTTGTACTGATTTTAAATGTGCCAGACTTATACTTGTTTTTTTATTACGATATCTAGACCATTACTGATAATCAAATGCACAAGAGTTTTTGTTTGTATTCTCATTAAGCTGTGATTAAACAGGATGGTACACTCTGACAATGAGTGACCCATTTAGGTTAACTCAGAACAGACTGCACTTATCAGACAGATTGGTTAAAACACACCTCACACTAAACAACACACAGACAATAGTTTTTTCTTTCGTTTGCAGAATTTTAAGGACTCAAGTGCTGGACAAAAAAGGCCCTCCATATTGAAGTGACGTCTTTGCCCCGAGGAGAGTGCTTTCAGAAGGCTGTGTATAAAAATTAGGTTTTTGTCTGGATTTGGTCCATGTTATGGTAATATTTATTTAACAAAGATAGAAATACGTGGTCCAAGAATGAAGGTACTCCGTGAGATGATCAGCTGAGTTTTATTGCAACAACAGGAAACACAGACAACAATCTGGCCTGTCTCTGTGCCTCTGCTTCTCTCTGTCACTCCACTCCACACTACTGTTGAACACTGTGTCTCAATATATGCCTCATATATACAGTATAAAGTATATTAACAAACACCATTCTGTCATCTTAGCAAGATTTGATACAAGGTCAATGGAAAACACAAAGATAAACACAAGTGATATCTTAGAATGACTTGTTAGCAAATCTTGTTCTGACTTTAATCATTCTATCTGCAGATGAACATCATGTCATGAAAACCCAGGTCATTAAAGGTTGTCATGAATTACTTGCTTAAACATAAAAGTATTAGTTCTATTACAGTCCAGATGAAAGGTTGTGTACGGTTTTATTTTTCTGCAATTCAAAGTTCAAGTCTTAAATCTAAATTGTCTCCTGTGCGTGCTTCAACTGCAAAATAACACATTTTCTTGCAGTGCTGTATAAATAAACTGAAGTGAATTGGATTTCCAGTTTTTTGTTTCCAAAGATCTTTGTCCAGATGATTTCCTTATCTCTTTCCAAACCCCTTGCTCCGAAATTCTGGACTCCACAGCACCTTCTCTGTTTAAATCAACGTTCAACTTGTACAACCTTTGAGTGTCTTGTTAAGTTACCAGAGATTCCTCTTCCTTTATGGAGAACTAAACAGTTTCTCTGTAAGTAAACAATTTATAAAATTACTGCTATGTTTTCACTTGGAGTTAGAAATGTATCTAATAAAAATGAATTCACATGAGACTGAGGAATTATTTTCTTTACTACCCAAAGCACTGATCCCCAAAAACAGATTATAGATTCAATAATAAATCTAAATCTAGAACCAGTAGCACTTTGAAGTTAAGCTTGAGCTTTAATTGTTTAACAATAATGAATTTATTGTGGATTTTGAGCTACATATGATCAAAGTTAAACTAAACATACGTACAGGTTTAAATATATCCATTCATTCAACTAAAATATTTTAATAAGTGAAGCTGAAAGTCTTCCTGATTTTATAACTGGGTTGAAATCTGCAGCTGCTTTCATGGACAAAATGCTTTCTGGAGAAAAGTTTTACTTTTACAGCATTCTCATACTGTTTCTTATTCTTCATGTATTTGACTAAAAAGTAAAGTAAGACAATTTAGACTGAATGCAAAATAATGATTTCATTGTTTGGTCCAAAAATGTGTCTTTAAAGTTGGTTATTTATAAAAATTGTTTTTACAGTCAGTTATCAGTGCTTCTGATAAGAATTAAATCAGTTTAACTTCATCAATTATAAGTCATCTTGATAATTAAAGCTGGGACAGTAAGGTTGCACCAGGTTTTGTGCCGCCGTACAAATTCTCTCTCAGAAAGACCAAAATCTTCTTCCAAGAGTCCTCCTGAGCTCGAGAATGTTCCAGAGTCTGTCCTCCCCACAACACCATACCTGCAAACAACAAAAACAGATTCTGAGCTCAAGACATCTGACTTTAAAAGCTACCAAAAAGCTGACAGGTGGGCGCTTACTTTTTTAATGTTTTGTAAGATCTGTAAGAATACTAGCTCGGGCATGTGGCGAGTATGGTGGTTCAATCAGGTGACCTGTGTTTGGGTAGGACAGGAGAGTCAGCAGGTGGCTGTTCCCCGCTCGCTCCATCATCTCCTTTATCTGGAAAACAGAAAGTTTAAAGTCAGGTGGTTTAACAACAAGAAAATTTAAGTGGTTAGGGGAGTTGTCCTGTATCTGGAGCATTGCCGGTTTAATCCCCCATTCCAGCCGCCTCAGTTGTTATGTCCTTGGGCAAGACACTTCACCCACCTTGCCTACCTCTGGTGGTCAGAGGTGGCGCTGGTGCATGGTCACCTGTGTTAGTATGCCCCAAGGCAGCTGTGGCTACAATATAGCTCATCATCATCATCAGTGTGTGAATGGGCAAATAGGTAGAGCACTTTAGGGTCTGACAGGGTTTGATGAATTGTTATATAATTTCTGACGATTTACCATTTCAGCATAACCAAAATTATGATAAAGTTATTCATTAATATGACACTTTCCCCTACATTAACGTCTAAAGAAAGCAGATTAGCATAATCAGCTAAAGTTACAGGCCTGTTTTGGAGACAAAGAATCTACTACCCCTGGCAAAAAGTATGGAATCAGCAGTCTTGGATGAGCACTCATTCAGACATTTCATTCTGTAAAACAAACTCAGATCAAAAACATGATACAGTAATAAGGTCATTCCAAAGTGCAACTTGTTGGCTTTCAGGGACACTCAAAAAATGAAGAGAAAACATTGTGGAAGTCAGTGAATGTTACTTTTATTAACCAAGCACATGGGAAAAAAATACATGGAATCACTCAATTGTGAGGAAAAAAGTATGGAATCACTCAAATTGGAGATAGAAAATAAGGACACACCCAGTCAATTTCCTTCCTATATCAGGGGTGCTCAACCTTTTTTGAACCATGATCCACTTTTGAATTCTGAAGTTTGCTGTGATCTACTCGTCCAGTCTCAGTATCAAAAAACACAATTTTTAATCTCCCTACTCCTCACTTCTTTAAAGTAAATAAAGCAGAACGTAACGTGTTGCTAGTTTTATTTAATTTAAAGTATTGTCAAACAATATCTACTTAACCATATACAGTATTTACCTACAAAAAAAGAAAAGATAAAATCTTTACTTAACTCCTGACAGAGAAACAGAAGAGGGATGCTCGAACAAAAAGGATTAATTTTTTATCTCCTTCAATTAGTACTCCCTGTAACATGTGAGCTATGATGGGTGGAAACCTGCACACTGAGAACCACAGACTTAAATAACTTTAGAGCACGGGAACTCATCTCCATTTATTCAAAGAACCCTCCTCTCTTTCTCTCCATACAGGGGAGGAAAAACAAAACATAAAACTAAAGTCAAAGCACACAATATAAAACTCTCTTGTTTATACTATTACAAAAAGTGACTTACGATGGTGCAGATTCACAAATCTCCAACAACTATTTCAAACCTCCATCTCTGTGCAGCATGCAGGATGGTGTCATCTGTAGGTGCTGGCCCTCACTGGTCCAGACTGCCGGCTCCAGACCATTCAAAGAGTTCCACCTGTTCACCACCTATAAAACAAGACACACACACAGTCACGTTAGGTAGAGAAAACAACTGCTAAATAAATAAATAAATAAATAACACAAAGGTGCCAGTCAGTGTATAAGACACTAGTCTGGTCTAAAATGTAATAAAAAAAAACATACAGACCCATTGTGACAAGTCTAGAGGAGACAACTTTTTATGCAAGAAGCTATATAAAAATAAATGTATGTCTACCTTAGTGGGACTTCTGACACTGCCCAGGGTCTCACAGTTAGACAGTATGAGGTGGTTGGGGTGTAAGCAGGTCTCCAGATGATCATCACTCTTTGTGGATCTGTTCTTGGACTTGATGATTTTCATGTGAGAGAAAGCTGACTCCAGAACTCTCCATCCATGTGACTTGTTGCTCTGGATTTGATCCTAATGTCATTTTGCAGAATCAAAACCTCATTTTCAACACCGGAGCAGTCCAGACTGAAACACAAATTTGGACACATCCATTCCTCCTGGTGGACAGCTGCATGTCTTATAGCAGCCACTTTTATTTTTAAAATCACGGAAAAGCACGTCTGCAGCATCAAACGCTTCTTTCATAACTTCGTCATCGCTGAAAGATGTTTTTTGTGTTGAGGCAGGTATGAGGCCGCATTAACAGCCTTA